GAGAGAGAGAGAGAGAGAGAGAGAGAGAGAGAGAGAGAGAGAGAGAGAGAGAGAGAGAGAGAGAGCCCGTACTTGTAAAAGCCGAAGTTGGTGAGAGAAACAGAAGGGAGATTGATTGACACTATGGAATATTTCGGCCAACAACACTGCAGAATCACGAAAACTTGATTTGACAGTATAAAGGCATATCACACAAAACACTGGAATGCTTACTACACGGGTATTAGTTGATGGAGACATTGAAACAACTCGAATCATTTGAGAGAGAGCCGCATTCTTTCTGACCAGAAACAGTCACTGCCCTTCACTATGTACACACATCCGCTTTGACATAGCATACTCTCACCAACAACTGCTGATGTAGCACCCAATCAGATAACCTGACACAAGCTCAAGCATCGTTGGCATGTCTCCACAAAAGATGAATCAACACTAAAGCAATCACCTCCCCCTATCTTTTTTATCGCTCTTTCTTGCGCAATCGACTTTCAAATCAGCAGCTGCCAGCAAGCATCCCAGGTCCTTTCAGCTAGATAAGCTGCAGCGACAATTCGCAACAATCGCCTCGTCCTCCTCAATGCACTTCATCTCTCTCTCTCTCTCTCTCTCTCTCTCTCTCTCTGGGTTTCTGGCACCAACCTCTGTGTGTCCAAGTCATGATACTGGTCAGCTCTCACTCTCTCTCTCTCTCTCTCTCTCTCTCTCTCTCTCTCTCTCTCTCTCTCTCTCTCTCTCTCGTACACACACACCTGCTACAACCACTGCCTTTCCACTTGCCACTTGCCCATGTCCGGGATGCTTTTACTGATGGAGTTTTTCAGTATAGCTTACCTGACAGCACAATCACGACTTAATCCACTTGCGAACACCCAAGTATGTGAATGATCTCTAAGCATGGCTGTAGCAACACAACGGCACTAAACTACTGCTCACAATCACACTATGGCTGAAAATGAAGCCGAGCATGTGAACGACCTCTAGACATGGCTCCGGTAGTACACCAACATTCACTATACTACCTCTCAAGATACATAATCTATCTTCGATAGACTGAACAGGTGTCAACTTGCCCCCCCCCCTCTCAAGATACATAATCTATCTTCGATAGACTGAACAGGTGTCAACTTGCCCCCCCCCCTCCTTCCAGTGAGAGCAAAGCGATGGATGTTCCCTTGTAAGGTAGATTTATCAGAAGGTTGTATGTATGTCTGCAATTATGACTGCCTTTCCTGCAAAAGATCTTACTTGCTGCTCAAACTTACCATGCGATGACCCAATCGACCAGGGAGTGACGTCCGTATCCACAAATCAAAGGAAGCGTTTCGACGAGGAATTCCTGCCAAAGCCCAGGTTGAAGTGCGTGCTGACTGGATCTAGCCCAGACATTCCCAGTGTAGGCATGCCCTCATGAGTCATAGAGAGCAAATGCTAACCCGTAAAGGCGATAAAGACAATACAAATGCTAACCNCTAGCCCAGACATTCCCAGTGTAGGCATGCCCTCATGAGTCATAGAGAGCAAATGCTAACCCGTAAAGGCGATAAAGACAATACAAATGCTAACCCATAAACGCAAATGTCTCCAAACTAGCAAGACGCGTCTGTGCGTACAAGACAAACTGCAGAGGAAGGGTCACACTTGTGAAACAATCCTTGTGGGCCTGATTGGCAGAATGCGAAGCTCATTCCCATTCGCTCCAGCAGGAAAGGCTGTGCAGTCACAGGCAAATCTCTCCGCAATCTTCTCCACTTCAGAGTGTGATCACATTTTGGACAGCAAGTCACAGTCTGCAATGATTGTCAAGGGATCTCCTTCACTGCCATTTTGTTTGGCCCTGGATGGCAGCTGATCGATCACATGTAGGGATTAGAGAATAACATTGTTGTAGGGATTAGAGAATAACATTGTTGTAGGGATTAGAGAATAACATTCTTCTCAGAATTGTGCAAGAGAATGCCTGAGGCTGGGAATGAATCATGTGGGGTGCAACAACCCATTGCCCAGAACGCCCACTATGGCCAGGACTGCTTATCCTCTGAAGCGACGACGTATTCCTCTGCCGCCTCCTCCTCCCTCCTCCACGCCCTCCTCCACACCGCTGTCATTCTCCTCCTCTTCCCGTTCCCCACTGCCATCATTGTCATCATCATGCAACCATAAGGATGTGGTCCACAGCAGAAGGGCGGTCATGATTCCCTCAAGATGGTCAGTTACGACGGGAATCATGCATATGACCACCTGCCGACGTGAGTCACTAGCACATCCATTCATTCAAGAAATGTGCAGCTCCAGGCAATGACAGAGAGAGACCATCAGGCATGCCAGCCACGGAAACAGCAGCAGGACTCTTCCAGAACAGGAATGTTCACTGGAAAAATACGCTACGTAGTACGAACAGGACAGCAGGGCAGCCCACCATGACGGTCAATCAACCCAGGTAGCAAGTCTGAAGACCATTCATTGAAGTACAGACAACTACCACCAGGTGGCAGAACAGGAGGCGAGCGCTGACTGCATGGATCTGAATGGCCAGCGAGGATTCAGTTGGCCAACGACGATGCTGTGATCCGTAGGTATCAGAAGGCAGAAAAACACTAATGAATGCCGCCAACCTTTCCCCTGCAAAGGGGATCGATTGAGAGAAAAACAAGCATTGGCTATGGTTCTGGCAGCATATTCTAGACCTACTCAAGCGGAACAAGTTGAGCAAGCCAGTGCCAAGAAAATAGCCAGTGGCAAATGAAAGCCTCAGACAGAATATCGCTAGTCAGATGCCGACCCTTGAGCCTCAACAAACCGAACAGGAACGACTGGAATGCTGTGCCACCAGTCACGTAGCCGACGCATCCAGCGCCGAATTGCTTCCTCACGTATCTCCAGCTTCCGTGTAAAAGTCTCCAGGACCAGCAGCAGCACCATCCAGCGAAATGGCACTATTAAAAGGAAAACAGCACCCGCCACCAGAAAGAGCAAAGCTTGGTCTGTTGCCTGCAATACCAAAACAATAGATCAAGACGATAAGCCAGAAGCCCTCCACACCAGAATCCAAACACTGACAACAAGCATGGACGCCCAAAACCACGACAAATGTAGATACGATCATGAAACACTCGACAAGCAGTGTTGGCAGTTCCACAGTGCACTCGCTGCCTTCTCCCTGTTAGACCGAGGAGGAACAGTTTTCTCCCCATCAAGCCAGTCTTCCTTTCTTTTTTTTTTCCCCTTCTTTTGTGGACCATTTCTGGATTTATGCATGCCATCCTTGCACCGGAGCCATGCTAATCTTCTCTGTATCGTTTCGAATTCTTAGGCATGTCATTGTCCATGTCAGGAACCAGTGATTCAATAGCGGAGAACCTGCTTGCGGCCATCGTGAACAATTACACTGGATGGCAAAAGGTATACACAATATTACACATCCCTAACGGCACGGGCCTTAGTCATCAATCAACGGGTCAATTTTCTCCATGGTTTGATATTCAACATCAATCTGAGACCCCTCTGAGACCCATCAAAGAACTTTCCAAAGGACCTAAAGAAAAAAGAGGCTGCTTACCTACGGATGGGGGATGCATTGAAAAAACAGTTCATAACTAAAGGCCACATGCAACCCAGCAAATAGGGGGGACTCAGCCTCATAAACCCGGCTGCAAAATGGGTTTTAAGGTTGATACCATGGTTGCATCCCTGCCGACCGCCGACCATATTGCAGCCGACCAGTAGGGCCATCCAGTCAGAAAACAACCATCCACTGATTTTTGTTCAGATCTGAGTTGGAAGCTGTACTGCGCTTGCTGAGTACAGCCCAAATCCACTGAGAAACTTTTGGGGATTGGGGGGTTGTATAGGGGGTTATAGGGGTTATAGGGGTGGTATAGGGGTTATTGGGGGGCGATATGAGAGTGTTGGGGGCGGTTTGTGGATGTTGGGGGGGGGGGTATGGGGGTATTTGGGGTGGGTATGGGGGTGTTCGTGGGGTTATTAGGGGTTCTGGACTCAAAAAAATAAAAATAAAAATAATAATAAAAATTTGCGGGGTGCTGACGACCCCCGACCGGTAGGTGCCGACCAGTCGACCAGTCAAGGGTCACCGAAGGTCGGGGTGTGCAAAACTGATTGATACTGAATTTGAAACTAACATGGGAAGAAATGACCCTGTATCAAATAAGGAATCTGCTGCCATTTAAAGTACACGATTACACAGAAGGCCACACATGGCTCATGAATAGACACTGGACATTTAGAAAGGAAGGAAGCAGACACAGACTAGGGGGACGTCGGCCAAAAACGGCAACCCTCCAAGCATTCACTGGGCAAAACTGATTACAGCATGGAGGGGAGCCTTTCCGCAAAGGAGAAGGGGACAGAGGGTCAAAACAAGAAATCCTGAGACAACCCCTGTTTGACAACGACATGTTGAAAGACGAAAATGGACAACCATGGACACTCAGGGAGAGAAGCGATGGAGAGCATGGCTGGGAAAAAGGTATACGTACAGAAAGCAGAACACGCATGAGATGATCAGAAACGGAGTTGGAAAACGGAAGGACTCAAAGAAATCCTGAGAGTCCATCATAATCTATGGAAAATTTTGGGAGACCTGATCGATAGTATTTATAGCCTGAAGGTCGTGAGCCATGTGTGGCCTTCTGTGCAATCGTGTACTTTAAATGGCAGCAAATCCCTTATTTGATACAGGGGCATTTCTTGCCATGGAAGAAGGGAGACTGGGCAACATTGAAGGTCCAGGGCACACATTCAGTGGCACTCTGCGCTCTCACGGGCGAGCAGGGAAGGAGCACACAGCCATAGCCAAGCTGCGCTGCTGTAAGCTGGGTGCAGCGCAGGGTGGTCCTTGGGTGATCGTGGCATCTGTGTGTTGGGGAACGAGGTTGTGAGTGTGGCGAGAGACATACCTGGTGCTGGAGGCGTGCGACATTGGTCGCCATATGCTCGTACTTCGGGAATGCTGTTGACGTCATCTTTCGGCATCGTAGTGTAGGCTAGATAGGATCTGCCACATGTAGTCTGGGCGCCGAGCGCCAGATAGGATATCAACTCTGGTTCTTCGTTGATGATGATGGGGCTATTTCAGCATTGTCAATTATGAACTCTTGGTGTGTTCTTATTTGGTGAATCTCGTGATGCAATTCTGCTGTTGGTTCGAGGTCACGACTATCTGGACTCATATGTATGATGCTGTTTGATTGCTGAAGTTCGCTATTGCTCATCTTCCTTGCCATTTGGTATTGGAGCTGTGGTACGTTTGCGCTCATCTGGCGCTTGTCTTCTGCCTGGTACGGTACATACATGCGGTCTGCTTGGTGAGTTTGGCCGTAAGTGGTGTGTAGTGAGGAGGGCGGAGGCGAGTGAGTGGCGACCCAGGAGGTGAGGGGATCGCCAGGAAGGCTGCGTGGTGTTAATGTGGTCTGGACAGTGTGATGAGAACTATCTAATGTGCGATTGATGCTGAGGTGGAACGGCGAGATAATACTGGTTGTGCCGATGCAGTGACTGGTCATCGCAATCGCCATTTGGTCATCTGGTGAGATTATCTCTGTGGTTGGGGGCAGCTATTTGAGGTACGTTGCTCTTAACCTTATCTACCCTCTCCGACACTTCTTACCGTGAGGTTGTGTGTTCCTTCTTGAGAGTCCTCTCATTGTGAGGTGTTGAGTGCGCTCAACCTTGAGAGTCGGCAATGTTCACGTGGAGCATCTGGGAGAAGATGGGCGGAGCTTTCTGAAGGGCCCTGGATGAAGCACTGGGTCACGGTCACCATGCCAACCCACAGGGAGTAGAGCACGCGTGCCCTCTGCTTGTCCTTTGTTCGGCTTGCTGCGCTGTTAGATGGGTACTGTTGGGCAGGCCAGCCCTTGAGGGAGACGAGACCGGGCATCTTTAAATAAGCACCGGAAGGGGAACCATTGGTTGTGATCGTCGTCCGGCTGCGACGTAAAAGAATTCCTGGAGTCACTTGGGGGCTAGTCAGTTCAATGATGATATCTCAGAGCACGCCCTTCTTTTCTCTTTTTTAAAGTTCTGCATCAACCTATCAACAAGCCCAATCGAATTTCTGAATGTCTGAATCAGCACCATCAAGACACAGCGGTAGACGTGCAATCCACCGTAACAGACCACACACCTGGTCTCCCAAGAGTCCAGGTATAACAGGGTCTACGGACTCGAATAGGTTGTTTCAGAATTTCCCCAGAAGTCCCAACCTTTTCCCCCCTCTTCTTCCCCTTGCCTTCCCCCTAACAGGCAAGGAATTCTTCGCATCTTTCTTCCAACCAATACTGGACCAGGCTGCCAAACCCCTTGATATGCATACCAAGGCAATATGCACAGAGTGTAAGGCATTCGTTGAAAAGTGAGAGAAAAAGAAAGAAAAAAACAGGAAGCTCCCACAAAAGCAACAGTCTATTCTTCAACCGTTGGGAGGAGAATTACGTTTGAGATAACAGATCAGGGGAGAGAGGAAAAGAGAAAATTGTCAAATATGTACATACCGTTTTCTGTTCAGAAAGGAAAAGAGCTCGCGTTTTCAGAAGGGAGATGTTTGCCGTCTGGATTGCGTGCTCCACACCAGCCAATGCATTCTGCAACTCCAAGAGCTGCTCCACCTTGCTCTGGCCTTTTGGTAGTGTGACCACAACCTCATTCGGTCGAGACCCTGGTTTCACATCAAACCGCCGCAAATACCTCAGCCACAGAACAAGCCCAGCATTTGTGACCAGTATAGCGGGTATAACGAATCTGAGCCAATCCCTGCGAAGCAACAAACAGTTTCCGAGGTCAGGTCCAAAGCGTCAGTTCACAGTTGAAGTGGAAATGCCCAAGCACTACAACCCTGAACACTGTAAAGCAGAGCAAGAATCAGAGTTGCGCCGAGTGGATACAAATCAAGATATGCTGCAAAAGTCACTGCAGCTCCACTTGAAACAGTACGAAGTATGATGAGATGACCATATCATAAAGAGAGGGATAGAATAACTTTGAAAGGTGGTACCGGCAGATGCCCAGTATAATCCGTGTGTGCTCCAGGGACCATGCTATTCTTTTCTGTATTGTTCCAAGCTTAACGTCACACCGTGTCAGAGAAAAGTCATCTGGTGCATGGCCAGGCCTGACGGATGGATGGATGGGTGGGTGCGTGGATCGATGGATGGATGGCTGGATGGGTGGGTGGATGGATGGATGGGTGGGCAGGTCGATGGATGGATGGGTGGATGGATGGGTGGGTGGTTGGGTGGGTGGATGGGTGGTGGATGGATGGAGTGGGTGGGTGGGTGGGTGGATGGATTGATGGATGGATGGGTGGATTGGTGGATGGGTGGGTGGATGGATGGACGGGTGGGCATTTGGGTGCATGGATGGGTGGATGGATGGATGGGTGGATGGATGGGTGGATGGATGGGTGGGTGGATGGATGGGTGGATGGATGGGTGGATGGATGGATGGATGGATGGATGGATGGATGGATGGATGGGTGGATGGGTCGGTGGACGGAGGGATGGGTGGATGGGTCGGTGGATGGGTCGGTGGATGGGTGGATGGATGGATGGATGGATGGATGGATGGATGGATGGGTGGAGATGGATGGGTGGGTGGGTGGATGGGTGGGCGGGTGGATGGATGGGTGAGTGATGGGTGAATGGATTGATGGATGGATGGATGAATGGGTGGATGGATGGGTGGGTGGATGGATGGGTGGATGGATGGGTGGGTGGATGGATGGATGGATGGATGATGGATGGGTGGATGGGTGGATGGATGGGTGGATGAGTGGGTGTGTGGATTGGTGGATGGGTGGATGGATGGATGGATGGGTGGATGGATGGATGGATGGATGGATGAG